CAGTGTTGTGTCCCCTGGCTTTGTATCCTTCGGGTCCTCGCCCGTATCATTGGAGGCATAGGCTCTCATCTGATTGCGAAGAAGTCGAGCGTCGCAATATCTGCCTTCGACGGTCCCATCCTCATCGACAGTCACAAAGGCCTTCAGATCAGCGACATCAACCTTTCTTTTGGAAGGATCATCCAGAAAGATGGCCTCTTGGATTTGTGGCGCACGTTGTCTAAAGTTGTCTAAGGACTTCGCCCGCCGCCAACCCGGCAGCACACCCTGCAGCCCAAGTCGCTCAATGTGAAAACGTCCGATTGCCATGGCCATGGCAATGACAGCAGGCGTTTTACCTACCCCAGGATTGCCTGCGATGATGACCGCGGTAGTAAGTAGCAGCGGGTAGAGAAGAGGCAGAATGTGCTTGACCAAGTCCTCCTTCAAGTTGTAGGTGTTCAAGGGAAACTCAGTCATGCTTTGAGCCCCGCTCACGCCACGTGACTTATTTTGTGCCATGCCTCGCACCTTCACTTCAGGCCACCCAGCGATGGGTGATCCTGAATCGGGCCGAATGTGGGTAAGTATCCAAAATGTCTGTTCGTTGCGGGCGTCGCATTCAGGTGCATGAAGATTGATGAACCTGATGCCTTCCGATAGGTCGTCGGTCTCAGGAGACCACGTTGCTGATGTAGACCGGGTCAAGTTGCATGACGATTTGTCCTGCAACGAATGCCAATGTACATGATGCCCATGCACCCTATCCAAAGCCCACTGCAAAGCTTTCTTCACGGCGTGAGGACCGTTGCGGAAAACAGGTACGAGAGGCGTCCCGCTGCAAAAGGCAATGCCTGCCTTTGAAGGAACTGCTTTCTCCAGGTACAGAATCTTCAGGACATTCATGCAGCCGTCACCTGTGTTCTCGATGATAATGTCTATTTTGCTCGTTGCTGGTGGCATGTTGGAGAAACGAAGGGGTGGAGGTAGTTCTGCAAGTTTGCCTTCGGCTACGAGCTTGGCAATGGTGTTGGCACTGCCGCACTCCACAATGCCCACGTGGGAGTCCATGATGACAGAGGCAGACTTCACGGCCTTGCAATCGAGAGGCCGGCACACTCCCTCGAGAAAGTCGGAGATGGTCACACGATCGCCCGAGTCGTTGGTGGAAATGTCAGGATGAGGAAGAACCTTAACCTGCCATCTCCGATCGGAAACCTGGTTCATGCCCTCATCAAGTAATCGACCCGACATTGGCTGGAAGTGTACCGGAGGCGAAGGATGGTTTGTGTGCTAAGACAGAGCCTCGTGACAAGAGAGCGGACATGGCATTGGGTGTTTGTGTGATGCAACCTGGCACACTGCAATTCACATGCATGCACTACGGTCTTTATACCATGTGTTTGTGCGGGACACTGCTTAACCGAGAACTGCCGAGAACTACCCACATCAAGACGCAGGCACGTGTAGCGGACTTCGGTCGTGGCCATGATTTACTACTACCAGAACTTGTACCAGCGCTAGCACAAGTACAAGTATGGTACTAGTACTCGTAACCACGGTTTGCAACATCCCGGGTTGCAAGACCGCAATGCAAACGGAGCCGGCCTTTTTTCCGAATTTGCTCCGGGCCTCTAGTGCAGAACACTTAAACCTCAGCCTCCAGCCGAGGTAGAAGCCCCCAGAGAAAAGATATGTTGGGACAACATCATGCCTGCTCATACTTGCCCTTGTCAATCTTGATGCGGTGCATGAGGTTGTAGCAAATGCGCTGCTTCTTGGGGTTGTTCCCGGCATTTCGAAGAATATACCGCATGGATTCCCATGCATCATGCCAGTCGCCTCCCCAAGAGACGGTATTGGTGCTCTTAACAATCCTTCGTTTCGTAGCGGAACTATCCGAGGAGGAAGATGAAGAGCTGGAACTTTCCTCCGAATCGTCGGGTGCTTGATCATCCTTATCCTCCGCATCGTCGTTGTTGGGCTCCTGGTTGTTGTTCTCACTCGGGTCGCCGTTGCCGCTGGGTTCCACATGTTTCGTGTCGTCATTGGGCACAGCATCTGCAATCGCAAGCGCCGGTGAGTTGTCCGGTGCATCCTTTGACCATTGACGCTTCTCTTGAGCAAGGACACGCAAGAGCCTGGTAGTAGCGTCTTGCGTCCAATCTCCTCGCAAGCCAACCTTTAGCTTGCATGCCCTTTGAACATTGTTGAGGAGAAGCCTCAAATCGGATGCAGACATGGGAAGCCGAGAGTTGTGCACGGCGACCCGTTGGTCGTTCACAGCGCTCAAAATGACGTCGTCCTGGCGGGAGTTGGAGTCCCACGGTGAAGAGGTTGGAGGAGAAGGGTCTTCGCGCGATGATTCCGCTAGGCGAACGGGTGAAAGATGAAGAACTGCTCCACCATCTTTCATGGAGACATAGCCGGCGATGGGCATTCGGGCCATGATTGCAGGAATAGGTTCCAAGAATGGAATGCTTTGAACACTTTCGGCTAGGCAGCATGTGGATTTCAATGCGGCTTGTCATTGAGCGTGAAGTGTTTGGGATAGTATAAGAATCCAGATCACACGATGTTCACAGCTTTGGTGGTGACCGTAGCAAAGTTGTACTGACGATGCTGATTGAACAGCTTGGTGCCTGCTAGACTCTAGACTGCAGCATGGAGGATTCCGCTAAATGGTGAATGAGAATCAATACTGCGAAACATGATGGGCTTACATTAGTCTCCTGAAGCAGCAAACAAGAATCATGACTGGCATACTTCATAAAAGATCAGTGTAACTGACACAAACAATACTCAGAATCATGCTGGACGTACATCTCCTGAAGCAACAAACACAGCATTGACTGAATAATGACTGGTGACTGGCATACTTCACGACCGACCAGATGTTATTACGACCATGACAATACACACGCCGAGTAAGAAGGAGGGAAACCGAATCATCCGAATCATTTCCGAATCATTTTGATTCGGGCCCGGATCCAAGATTCAAGATTCAAGATTTTCCAGGGGTCTTGCCAAGGAATCTTGGATCCGACCCCTCAGCCGAATCATCCGAATCATTTCCGAATCATTTTGATTCGGGCCCGGATCCAAGATTCAAGATTCAAGATTTTCCAGGGGTCTTGCCAAGGAATCTTGGATCCAGTGGGTGAGTGTCGGATCCAAGATGCCCAGGCAAGACCCCTGGAAAATCTTGAATCTTGAATCTTGGATCCGGGCCCGAATCAAAATGATTCGGATGATTCGGCTGAGGGGTCGGATCCAAGATTCCTTGGCAAGACCCCTGGAAAATCTTGAGTCTTGAATCTTGGATCCGGCCCCGCGCCCGAATCAAAATGATTCGGAAATGATTCGGTTGATTCGGGGCTATTGTGGAGAAAACATGGCATGAAATAATGTAGTTGCAATCTGCAGGCACTCCCCCCCAATCCCCCCCAATCCCAAAGTCCCACGCTTTCCTGAACCTGAGATTCAGGAGAAAGGCTTGGGAACAAAGGGGATCTCACGGACCCACGCCTTCCGAAAACTGGAATTTAGCAGAAAGGCGTGGGTACATGGGGGGGGGGGTACCATATATATATATATATATATATGTACATATACATATATATATATATGTATACACACACACACACCAGTTTCTTTGACACGCACACATAGATATGTACCTATGTTGTTGGTTGCATTACACATGTGCATATAACTACAAGTGTACACAAACATGTGCACATGAATGTACATGTATGTCCATGTGTGTGTATATCTGTATATATATATATACATATGTATATACATATGTATATACATATGTATATACATATGTATATATGGTACTCTATATATACTTATACATATGTATGTATGTATGTATATATGTATATATGCATGTGTCAGTGTGCGCAAGAATGTGGCTGGGTCTCACAGTTCTTTATTCCAAGGCGGAAATTCGAATATCCCCGAGAGCAATATTGAGTTGCCTGATGGGGAGATGGAATGTTTTGGCGGCCTCAAGAGAATCCCGACAGATGCTTGCCAGCCTTAGACTGTCGGGCTTATCTGGGTTTTCTTGAAGAGCAATGTTCTCCATGTTACAATACAAATCCAGGGAGTTGCTGACACCGTGCTCTTATTTGGTGTCCAGTGGGCGCATGGTTAAGAGGGACTTCGGGAATATACATGTGCAGCATGGCAGGCCGTATTCATGACCATCGCGTTTGCTGGATAGTTTTTTTGGGCAGGAGGTCTCACGTGCTGCCCACCTCACGACATTGAAGGTCTTTTCTATCCACTCACTGCAGCCTGTTGTCGTCATCAGTGCCAGCATCAGCAGCATCACTGTCACCGGCGCCGCTACCATCAGAATCACAATGGCACTCCTCATCAGTCTCAGCGTGTGCTCAGCACAAGGAAATCATTGCCGAAATCATTACCACTGCGACGAAGGGTCACCACTGCCGCCGGATCGCCGTGATCATGTCTCGAATTTTCTTAAGCAACAGCAGCCTGTGGATCATCGACAATGACAGCATTTCTGCTGTGTCTAATCCGAGCAGACAGCGCTGTCTCGCCATCACATAGTTGGAGGTTCTTAGACACTTTTGCTACCATTAGTATCATTATTGTCTTTATTGTTATTATTGTTATTCGTTTTTTATTTGTATTTATTACCATCATTGTCCTTGCTGTGATTATGAAATTTCCGTTTTCTATTGGCATCATTACTATTATGATTATGGTTACTAGCATCTTCTTGTCCCATCCCTGAGCCGCCATCCCTTGTCCTGGTGCGCTGAGACCTGTACAAGCACAACTCCGCCATCTACTTCTGGAGAATCTTGGCGGGCTTTGGGGTTTAAGGGGTTCAGGGTTTAGGGTTTCGGGGGAGGGGGTTTATGCTGTGTCGGTGCTTGGGACTGGAGATATCGGCAGATTGAATTGTCTTGCGGAGTCCCTCAGCTGAACTCGTAGGATGGTGTTTGAAGACTGCGTTGTAGGTGAACTAACTCTACATGCGCTGCTTGGTGTTTGTGCATCCACTTTATGGCTAATGAGTTTACTTACAAGGACCCATGAGCCCTCAAGAAGACAAGGTCTGCTTCGGCAGCAATTCTGGAGTTTGGAACTTCCGCGACCCGGGCGACGTCATGGGCTGCTATCACTACCAAGCATGCCCCTCGCCTTTGCAGAGTCGGAGTTGTTTGTCCTGATGCCGAATCACGTTTCTATTTCCTGGATCCACACGCCTTCCTCCCGCCGCTGACACCAACTGACGAATCTGGCAGTATACCTATGTGTGTGTATGTATAGATATTATATGCACCCACACTCACCCACACAGACTTATACTTTGCAGCTCCCTCAGAGGCAGGTTGGCTGGGCGAAATGACAAACTGCAGAAGAACTTGGATCCCGAGGGTTGGCCATAGTCTTAAAAAGGGGCCATCAGAATTACCTGTATTTTTTGAGGGTTTCCTTATCATCTTCATAGCGTAACATACCCCCAAACCCTAGTCGAATCATGGTCTATCTCTCTCTCTCTCTCTCTCTCTCCCCCTCTCTCGTTCGCTCTCCCTCTCAGACTATGCATTGCAGATGGCCCTGATGTGGCAACCTTATGTGAAACCAAAAACCTTAAGGACAGAGGGCTCGCCGCTTGCAAGAACTTTGCCGTACGTCGGCAAGTTCAAGACTTAAACGGCCAGCTTATCGAACGTTTTCATTGTGCAGCCTTGCGAACAGTGTGCAAGAGCAGTGTGCACTATGCTGGGAGTACATATCGCAGCATGGCCCTGTATAACCCTAAACCCTAAATCCCCAAGCCGTACATCTTTGTTCCGTGGGCTTCAAAGCCGGGGCTCCGCAGCCAATCTGCGTGTTGGAGGTTACAACAACGTCGACATCCGCGGGATGGGAGCCGTTTGTTGCGAGAATGGAAATCCAGACGGGGCAACCTGCTATGGTACAGCTGCTGGGCTTCAGATTACGGCTTTTGGGCTTAGCGCTGCTACCTCCACTCAAACACACATCAGCGCAAACGATGCTCTAGTCGCTGACCAACAACCTCAAGCACCGACGCTGAAGGTTCCAGTCCTAAATACTCGGGTTTGGGGGGTTGTTACAATGTTTATGCAAGGGGATTTTCTTGAAAAATAATTGCACGAAGAGCTACCTCTGCCTCGCGCTGCACTTCAGCTTCTCAGGAAACCCCAAGTCTGAAATCCCAAATCCCAACGCCGAAGTCCCATGACTCGAGGATCAGTTGGAGTACGTTTTGGGGGTCTAAGGTCACGATGGTCGGTCCGAATTCCCAGGCGACCAGTTGGCACTTGCACTCATCATGCGAGAAAGGCCTTTGGTGAATGACTCCTTCAAAAATCGCGGTGAGGACTGTAAACCCTAAGGCCGCACTCCTTGTGCACCATCACGAGTGAACTCGCTGGGTCCCTTCAAGAGCAATGAGCTTCTATGGCCTGATATCTGACTTATCCAACCTGGAAGCCCAGAGCACAAACAAGCCCCGGATCGGACTCCTCAATCCGCTGAGCCCCAAGGCTCCAAACCTTTAAGGCCTCGACCCTGGAGCCAGACAAGCTTTGAAACTGGCTTCCTACAGCCTTAAGCCTTAAACCCAAAAGGAGCCCCAAACACAGAGCTCCGGGCTTTTGGTTCCAAGGCCGACTTTACCCTGGCAGATCGCGCCACAAGAGAGGCCAAGAGTCGAGTCGTGTTTTTGTTGTCTTTGGCGGGGGATGTGCTAGAATTTGCCATGAATCTGGCTTTCCGGAGGATGCAGGTCAAAAGGGAGCCGTTTCAAAACACCACAAGGGGAGCCGCGTCCCGGGAAAAGTTGTCCACGGTGCGCTAGTCATACACAGTCGAATGCGAAGCCAGCTTGATTTAGGGCTTGGGGTTTGCAGTTAAGGATTTAGGATTTAGAGTTTTAGAGGCTGAAGGTGTGGTTGTAACATCACGATGTTCCATTCAACTGCATCGAGTTTTGGGTGTGTGGAACATCTGAGGGTCTTGAAGGGCTCGAACGGTTTCTTCGTCTATTAACATGTGGATGTCGAAAGGCTTACGGTGCTTTATCCCAGCTCACGACCATCAACCTTCGCAGCCCTATCGAATTTTTTTACAGCACAAAACGTGTGAACATCTTGCGCTATGCCTGTGCCCCCCAAGACATGCTTCTGCCTATTACAGCAAACGCATCTGCCCTGGCTCCTCATGAGCCCTTGTCTGGCACACAAGCATCCAAACTGCATCACGTGAACCTAAGGCAGCTCCACTGGCTTAACTTTGTAAGGTTCACTCAAAGGCTTCAAGCCGCATGCACATATTGAGGTTTCTTCAGAGTGAGGCTCAGGATCTTGCATCTATCCGTGGCTACACATATGGCTGTCCTGAAAGGTGATACCACAAGTCCCAAGTTGTTGAAGCCACATGTCGGCAAATGAACAATGGCCGTGGTGCCAGGAGATCAATGGCACCAGCGTGACTTATTGGTGGTTGCGTGTTAGTTTGTGGGTTTGTGTTGTTTCGTTCGGTGCGCATGGCTGTTCTGAGCTTAGGACATCGTGTTGCCGGGATTAGTTTAGGCTGAAGACGGCTCCAGAGAAACACCATTGCGCTGAGCAGTATGTTTCCCGTCTTTGAATGATGTTTCTCCGTCCTGCTTCTTCCACGTTTGGAGGCGGCAGATACCGTGTGTTCCGGCGACATGTGCTGCATTGGTTACCAGACGTGCTACACCGGGAAAGCCACGAACGTCGGTTCGCTTACTTGCAAAGGACAGCTCGTTAGGATAGGGCCATAGGTCTCAATTTAAGGTTGTGTTGAGGAGCTTGGAGAACCCCTCGGCAGCTCAGGCAACTTCACCCAACCTTCGTCACTGCAGTCGGTTTGTTGAAACCCGATCCGTAATTAGCTGTCACGCTCGCAATGTCAGGATACCAAGCATGCTACCAGTATGACTTCTCATTGGACGGTGATCTGATCTGTGATGCCGACGCGCCGACAGAGTGTCCAAAGGACGATGTGAGCTGCGATGCCGACAACGAGGATTGTCCAGTGGACAATCACGGACAAACCTGTGCCAGCAGTTCAAACCAGTTCAGGTTCCAACCAACAGGCGATGGCACGCATTGTGTCCAGTGCAAAGGCCAAACTTCATGCAAAGACTCCAACTTCTACTTTCCAGAAAACTCCAGCGTTTATTTCTTCTGCGCAGACGGAGAAGGTGGCGACGCTTGCGAGGCAATGGTGATCCAATTGGAAGCTGGGTCTTGCATGGAGATTAACCTAACGCAAGGCTCCGGAGAAGGTGCAATCACAGTCAACAGGAGAGGCCCTGATGATAACGAGGCCTGGTGAGACCAAAGACCTTAAATCAACCTCGCTGCCATCAGACCCTAATGCCATGAATCCCTACCTCCCTAGGGCCGTAAACCGTCATGTGGACAGGGCTTGTGCTACTACACGGCGACTGGCCAATCATCGGCTACAGACTGGAAGCGCTCCAACGACACTTTCCCGAACCCCCCATGTACCGAGCGAGACCCGAGCCAGAACAAGACATGCGATGCACGTTGGATTCAAGACCTGCTTTGAGTAAAGCTTTTATTGAAGTGGGAGGCCAAGGCTGCCTGGGTTCTCAATATCTAAATCCGGGCTCCTTATACTTATAGTATAATGGGCCCCAAAACCTTGTTCTAGTTATTAAGGCCCCTACACTGTTCTGAAGTTTACTGTTCGCATTCTGTTTCTTGGATACTTGTGCGCCAAGCCTCTCCGTTTGGATTATCAAGCCTTGAGAAGCCTCGGAGGCGATGCAATGTGGGCCTTATAACGGTTTAAGGTTTAGGGTTTAGGGTTTAGGGTTTAGGGTTTAAGGTTTAGGGTTTAGGGTTTAGGGTTTAGGTGAATGGTACCTTGAGCCAGAAGTCATGTAATTTCGCTGGTATACGGCTTCTGTGTTTTACGGGTTTAGCCTGCTGCATAGCGATGGAGCATGGCATGAACTGTGTTCGGTGTGAATATGATGATGATGATGATGATGATGATGATGATGTTATGTTGTAGGCTTACAAGCCGTTCCTGGTGGTTACAGCAATGCATAGAAAAAACTTCCCATACCAAAATGTCTTGGCTTGAGTAGATGTACATGCATACGCTATATACTACCACCCTTTAGCTAGGCCATTCCTTTCATTCTGATGCTGGTGAGGCTCCCTTGCACAGTCAAAGCCCATCAGTCTCGTCTTTCGCATGATCCCCTTTACATCACCCCGCCCCACGGCCCGTTGTGGCGTGATGAGTAAAATCGGCCCAAAACCCTATTCCAATAAGGAATGCCCTAAAGTTATGTATTCCACAAGTCTGTCGCAATCAACGGTTAAGTAGCAAGTGGAGCTAGATAGTTACTTGTGCACATGTTATCTTGAGATTTGTATGTCAGCCAAGGGCCGTAAATGGTGTTCCCAGTTGCCTAGAACGGCATTGTTGCGAGTTGGAGACCCCGGCGAACGGCAAATACACCGATTGCAAAGGATGCTGTTCAAAGAGGACGACATCATCGACAACGACAACAACCATAGCGCCCACAACGACAACGACCGCTGCACCAACCACAACAACGACAACTGTAGCACCAACAACGACGACAACAGCAGCACCAACAACCTCAACGACCGCAGCGCCCACAACGACAACGACTACCACAGCTCCAGCCACTACGACGACAACTACACCGCCTCCAACCACTACGACAACTACAGCGTCTCCCACGACTACGACGACAACTCCTGAGGAAACTACTACGACAACAACCTCAACATCGACACCTTCACCCTCTCCTGACATCACTACCAGTACCGCTGCTCCCACCACAACAACAACGACCGCAGCGCCCACAACGACAACGACTACCACAGCTCCAGCCACTACGACGACAACTACACCGCCTCCAACCACTACGACAACTACAGCGTCTCCAACGACTACGACGACAACTCCTGAGGAAACTACTACGACAACAACCTCAACATCGACACCTTCACCCTCTCCTGACATCACTACCAGTACCGCTGCGCCCACCCCCACCCCCACCACAACAACAACGACCGCAGCGCCCACAACGACAACGACTACCACAGCTCCAGCCACTACGACGACAACTACACCGCCTCCAACCACTACGACAACTACAGCGTCTCCAACGACTACGACGACAACTCCTGAGGAAACTACTACGACAACAACCTCAACATCGACACCTTCACCCTCTCCTGACATCACTACCAGTACCGCTGCGCCCACCCCCACCCCCACCACAACAACAACGACAGCAGCGCCCACCCCGACGCCGAAGCCTTACCGCTATGGCTACAATTACAAGAGCTACAGAAGGCTGGTTTCTTGAAGTACCAATTCGCTGAAGCCTAATACGATGATTCCTGGCCACCTAAGTTTGTGATTTGCAAGGTATTTCCCATGTCCCAAGAGGGGCTTTGTCCTTGTAAGATAATTGCCAGAGAACGGGCCCCTGCAAAAGGTATTGGTGGCACAAGAAGAAGCTTGGGCCAGTGCAGAAGAAAGTGTTGAAGGCACTTCGCAAAAACCTGGCCAAGTACCTTCACGAAGGTTTCAAGCACCATGCTGGACGCTTGTCTGAGCTTAGGGTTTAGGAAGTTCCACATCCAAAAGGCTCCAAAGGTGCAATGATTCGGAGAGTTTCCCGGACGTGTAATGTGTCGTTTCCCCCGAGAAGACCAACCAATGTTTCTATGGCAATTTGGAGCTACGGGCCTGGAAGTTCAGCTTGAACCCTGAAGCCTGAACCCTAAACCAGGAGTAGTAGACTGAGGAAACCGCGACACAGATGGCGGGCGTCTTTGAGAAGGGTCGCTGTCGGGACGAAGGATCGCCGACGATCACGGTTATTTGTCAGGGGCTTGTTGTCGGTGCTCGAAAATGGCAGCACCAGCATCTTGGGCTGTCTCTGACAAGGCGCTACCCTACACCCTAAACCCTAAAGCTAAGGGAAGACGTATGGGCCCCGAGCCCCTACAGTCTACATATCGGGTATATCTTAGGTACATAAGGATTCCAGGGTTAAGCACCCATACTGGCGGCCCCCATCGTTTCGACCTTAGACTAAACCCTATGAAAGCTGGCGGGTCTGGTTTTGGGCTTCAGGGCTTCGAAGTCTGGACGGCGACCTCCGCCTGCTAGCAGGAGGGGTTTGGCTAAAGGCCGAAGTTGTCGGTCTTGAGGCGGCTATGCATCTCTTGAGTCCGGTCCCCTGGATCCAACACCTATTGATTCTTGGGTTTGGGGTGACCTGCTGGCCCTGCCGGTCTAGGGTGTGCTACGTTTCAGTGTCAGGGTAGGTTGCCTTGGCCTTTGAACGACAAGTCTGCTCCGGGGAACATATGCTAGACCCGCACAGACAGTGGGATCCTTAGGGCACAGATGCCTACAGAAAGCATCCTACTATTGATCCACCGTGGGAGCGTTATGAGTATTGTCATTATTTTAATTCGTCCTGCCGTTCTTTCAAGTGATTAGTATAAACAGCAGTGTAATCATGTTCTTCTTCTTCGTTCGCGTATTCTAGTTTGAATTTTACGGATTTTCATGAATCACAGTCAAGGCCATGGTTGGGCCAGGTGGGTTCCTCGGCCGTGGCATAGCAAACTGTAACTAAACCCTAAACCCTGAATTTTTCTATTGACGAAGATTGTACACACGATCCTTTAGAAAGAAAGCAAAATATCAGTCGTTCCTCCAGGGAGTGCGGAGTTGAGAGTGTTAGTTGGGCGGTTCAGGGCTTATAGGGTTTACAGGGTTTTGGTGTTTTATGGGGTTTGCAGGGCTTGTAGTGTTGATAGCCCTTCGACGGTTTATAGGGCGTACAGGGTTCAGGGTTTGGCGGAGGGCTGAGGGTTCAAACTGCCGCAAGGCTCCGGGCATCTGACCCTTAGTGGCGTTTGGGAGCGAGCCTTGAATAATTACATCAGGGTTTAGGGTTTAGAGTTGGGGGTTTGTCGTTTGGGGGTCCACTGGAGTGAGCTGAACTACGAGGAGAAACTGCCCCATTTTCTGCACGAAGCAGCAAAGCTTGTGGTCGTTTGTTATCATTTAATCATCTCAGCAGATGACAATCAAGACGGGCTGTCTGTGCTCATGGAAACCCATGCCTTTCGGGTATGCCTAAACCATGGCCAGAAGCTCTGAACTCTCACAACCCTGAAGATCTACACCTCAAGCTCTACATAGCCTTGGCAGTAGTTCACCCTAAACCCTAAGCCCAAACAAAAAACACCCTAAACCCGAAACCTTAAACCACAAACAAGACCTTAAACCCTGAACGCGCAAGAAAAGCCTAAACCCTACACGCTATAAAGCCGAATGAACCTTACGCATGCGCAGGAAGCTACCCGCTAGAAGGACAAGCAGGCGCTTGGGCAGGCCAAACCCAGGCCCTCCGGGCTTATGGGCTCATGGCTTTAGGGCTTTAGGGTTTAGGGTTTTAGTGTTTAGGGTTTAGGGTTTAGGGTTAGCGTTCAAGCTATGGCTGAGCTTCGGAAACCTCTGAACCCTGAGCCCCTCAGGCCTCGAAGCCGTATGCATTTTGCATTGTGACATCCTCTGAAGCCCAAAAAGCTGCAGGGTCGCAGCACAAACCGAAGGTATGAAAAATGCACAAACTCACCCGGTCAAAACACGATACTGAACCCCTACTTTAAGTCCTTACACCGTAATGTGCACCCAAGCCAAGACCTCAAGCCTAAGCTCTAGTTCTCTTACGCCTCAGAAATTTATGATATGCGGTCCTGCTTTTGTCTCTCTTGTGTCGATCCGCGGGATTTGTTTTATATAGCACAGCACTGCATGAAGTTGTGGGGATTGCAGGGCTTCAGGGTTTTGCAGGGCTTAGCAGCTTAGCGCTTGATGGTTTTTGCTGTGTTCTCGTTTAGAGCTGTAGGGTTCAGGGCCAATGCGTCCTCTGCCTCATTCGCACCAACGCAGGGCAATCTTGGTGAGTTTTCGGGTTGAGGGTCTAGCATTGTGGGCCACCGACCAGAAGCTCTTTGTTCACGGTATAGTATGCTGTCAAGCATTGCCGCAGGCCAGCGGAGATCACCGTGCGGCTGCTTGAAAACTGCGACTGCTTTGAGGTGCATTGTGCATCATTAAATGTTGTGATGCCGCAGTGCTTCGTATCTACCATCTAGAAAGGCAGCCACAAAGCCTGTGCAAAGTGACAGTCCATGGGCCTCTCCTCCCAGCCCAAATGCCAATATTGCTACCGCGCCACCGCGCTGATCTAAGCCTCTTCTTGCGAAAGCTTTTTAACTCAACACCTGAAGCAGCAACTAGACATCCTGACACACAAATACACCGTTTGCCGAATTCGATGGCCGCATTCGTTCGGAAACTAGCTTCTGCCAGGCATAGAGCTAGCTGGTGAAGGGTCGATGCGAACCCCAAAATCCAAAAAAACATTGAACTCCCAATCTTAAACCTAAGGCCATAGATCTCAAAACCCTCCAACCCCAAACCTTGAATCCCGAGACTGGATTGGCACGGCGAACAACACAAGCCTCAAGTGCCGTTATAATGTTATACGTTATGTATGTACGGTATTATGTTGTATTGTTCAGATTTTCTATTCGAAACGCAATATACAATCTTCTGTGTACGTACATATATATATATATATAGAGAGAGAGAGAGCATATAGTATATACCTCATACTATACAGTAGTAGTACCACGCAGGTGCGACATATATATATATATATATGTATATATATGTATGAGATACAGCTCAGAATATATAACAGACAATGTAGAGCATATAACATACAACATACAGTATCGCAGAAAGGTATACTGTCATCTATATATATATATACACATTTATACACGGTCATATTGACAATATATATATATATATATACACATAAACATTTCAAGATAGAGAATACATAATAGTGCGCAACCTTTAGGTTTTCTTTCAGTTCCCGACCCTGGGGTAGGGGTTTAGGGTGTATGGCCTCAGGGCAAAATGGCCCTGTAGGCAGGGAGCACTGTGGCCGGTGGATCGCTGGTTGCACTTTCCAGCAGGTCTGGAAACCTGCAAGAGGGCATGGCTGATTGCCCGATTGCCCTTGCAATGTTGCGACCTACCGCCTCTGGGGTTTTAACATTCAGGGCTTGTGGTTGAAGTGTCTTCAGCTTCTTGCCTTCCGTCAAGCTGCTACAGCAAACCTTTCCTATAGTCTGCTGTTGTAGGCATTCTAGTTTCCAGGCCCCTCTTCAGCCGCTTTCGGTGTAGCACACGTCGCAGACCTTCCCCAGACCGGAGACCTCGCCGGGCGAAAGGTCACGGGTAGGCTATCAAGCTCGTAACAGTTCCGTAAGTGTTTACCATCTTCTTCGTTGCTCCAGATGGGTAGTTGTCAAAACCTGTGGTCCCTTTTTGGCTACGCGAAATATTAGGTGCCGTATTACAGTAAGGACCCAAAAAGGGACCCTAATATTGACAACCACCCAGATGATTACCGGCCCTATATCTCTGACAAGGGTGAAAGTGAAAGGCTGCCAAGCTTGCACGCTTCTTCGTGTCACAGCTTAAGCCTCTGGACCCGCCAGCCCCAAAGCCCCGAAGTCGAAAACCTAAAACCCGTAAAGCTGGAGTAGAAAAGTACGCCCCGAGAACGTCGAAGCCGGAGTCAGGATGAGTAGTGCTGCTTGGGGTATTCCATATGCTTTGCTTCAACGCACGAGGACAAGGAGTTTCCAACTTTATGTCATGTTTGATAATAGAAAAAGAGGCCGCCTGAATATTTGGATTAATGCTTCGAGGGGTAGATCATGATATTATCAAGGCATGCTGGTAGAAAGCACTGCGACCTTGATACTATATAAGCAGCTCGCGAAGATGGCAGAGTCGGGTCGCCGGAGATGCGCGTTGTTGAGCACCATTGGCAAAGGTGGGGTTTAGCGGCATGAGGCCGGTGTAGGAATGTCTTGGAGGTTTAGTGTTTAGGCTTTAGAGCGTTTAGGGGGGTTATTTTGATTTTGAAGTTCAAGTTTAGGGTTTAGGGATCGGCGACCTTGGTCTACACCCTCAAGCCTGATTGTAGTCCAAACCGCCCCTTGAGTGTAAGCACGATTGAGATTGACGTCGCACATGCAGGGGCGGCGTTCCCGCTCGGGAGCGGAGGTTGTTCTAAATCAGAGCGACGGTGCAAGATCTGGCGATGTGTAGGTCTACAAGAGCTATTGTTTCAATTTAGGA